AGGCTATGCATCGGAATAGGAGCAAACAATTACAGTAGCAAAATCTAATGCAAGTACGAGAGAATGGAATGGGCGATATCGAGATGATCAAAGGGGGGGCTTGCCTGGTTGCTCTGGCAAGGAGGGGTCATCATCGACGTAGTCGATCATAGGGGCAACATCGGTCTCGGGGTCTACCGGAGAGAAGAGGGGGAGGAAACAGTAAATATAAAGCAAACATAGCATAACAGGACAACAGGCAGAGCTAGACGTGTTCTAACGCAGTGCTACATGATACCGACGAGGGGGGAAGTCAACTGGGAATGTTTTCCCGGTTCCGGACCTGTGTCAAACAGATGACCGGAGGGGGAAAGTTCCATGTTCAGCATGCTAGGGGCATGTGACAGATGAACGGACCGCGTATCCGGATTCGTCACGTTTTTTTGAGCAACTTTCATGTAGAAAACATTTTCATCCGAGTTATGATTTATTTTCTATGATTATTCAAAGATTAAAGCATTTTCAGAAACTATTTAAAATAATAGAAAAAGGATTACTGCATCAGCATGATGTCAGCAATGCGTCAGCCGTCGGCTGGGCTGCTTCCTGGGTCAACTAATAGGTGGGACCCACCTGTCAGCCTCTCTGGGTTTAACAGAGGGTTTAACTAATCTAACAGAGGTAGTTAGGGGTGTGGGCCCCATTAGTCAGTGACTAATTAACTAATTAGTTTAGGTTTTAATTAAATATGGTTCAATTAGTTTAATCAACGAACGGGGGCCACTAGTGAGTGGCTGTAGCGCCACATCAACGTCGCTGACCCGGTCAATGAAGTCAACCCGGGTTAGGGGCCCACTAGTCAGTGTCACTGGGCGGGCCCCTGCTCCGCCACGGCGGACGCCAGCACCGGAAAATGCTCCGGCGAGCGCCGGACGCGGCATGGAGCTCCGGCAAGCTCGGATTTCGCGTTTGAAGGCCTGTTTTTGGCGCGGTTTGCTGCAATCGAACGGCCAGTGTCACGCGCGTCGAGTGGTGTGACCGTTTGGACTCGGGGGTGACCGGAGCTTCACCGGCGATGAGCGAAGGCGGCGTGGTTCTTCGGGTGCGAACAAAAGGTGGCTCCTGGGGTGTTTTGAGAGAGCTAGGTGGTTGGGCGATTTCCTGGGCGCGCTAGGAGCATGACGATCAAGACGGCAGGGCTCGGGCGGCTGCGCTTCGAGCTGCACGCCGGCAATGGCGAACGGCAGCACGTGGCATCGGTGTCGGCTAGCTATGGGGCAGCAGCTCGCAAACGGAGGGGAAGAGGAGGGAGAGACGCTCACGTAGGGGCTCACGAAGGCCGGTGCTCAGTTTAGTAGTACTAGGAGTCGGGGGAGGTCGCTGGAGTTCCGAGGCGGCCGGAGAAGAGGACGATGACGACGCGGCAGCTACGGTGTTCCCCGACTCCAACCGAACGCACCAGGGGAAGGGGAGGACCCTGGTGGAGCTTGCGGTTGTAGTCAGCAGTCGCGGGGCCGCTGGTGGCCGGGGGAACGACG